AAAATAACTTCAAGCGAAAAACATGTATTTTTATATACCATAATAGTAACACAACAAAATGTCCTCAGTGGGGTGGTCCCGTCATAAGTCCAGTCTCACTGGGGGGCGTGAGATCCTCCCACTGCAGGTCCGGGCCCGAACACATCTAGCCTGTTACCCTTTTTGAGAACTGCAGTTACTTGGGATTTCTTCCAACTGATAGGGAATTGACAATCTGCTCTGCTTTTCATACAAATCTCGAATAGCCCTTGTACAACAGAGGACTCACACAACGTCATGTCTTCTGGGAAAATGCGATCCAACCCGTTGCTTTTTTTGGGTCGAGGGATTTTTGTACGATCTCCTTAACCATGTTCCACTCCACAGAAAAATTAGACATAGTAGGACAGACTCTATAAATAAAGTTGGTGGTGTCAAGGGAGAGTGGGCTTAAATCTCTGGTTAGATCTAGCGCTATATTTAAAAAGAAGTCATTAAAATAATCAGCCTTCTGTTCACTTCCAGTAATGATGTTTCTATTTTTATCTTGTATCGGCCCATATTTTGTGATCTTGCTTTTCTTCAGAATGCAGTTCGTAACCTTCCAAAAATCTCCCGGTGAGTTGGCACTTTCAAAAAGATTAGGCCAATATGCTGCCTCTGCATTTCTTAGCATTGCCTTCACTTCGTTCCGTAACGGCCCCATAATTCAGTATTTCCAGGATTGACTTGAGCTTTTCTGAGGTATTTGTGTCGTCGACTCATAGCCTTCCGAATTGTATTCATTCAAGGAAGAGATCTGTCTCTGATCTTCACGATTCTTTTCTTTATATGGTTGTCAAGAATGCTCTTGAACATAGATTCCATTAAAATACACTATCATCAATATCTTCAACAGCACCAATAATGTGCCATAGGGCTCTGGCCATATCAGCTTTAAGTTCATTGAAGTCTAAAGATTTATAATCTTTGACATAGGTAATTTTTAGTCTTGGTTTGCTTTTTGTGAGAGCAAAAGCTCCATACACAAGATGATGGTCAGATATACCAAGATCTATAGAGCCAGCCTTGAGGCATTCTTAGTTAGGGCTAGTGATGACGGGGTCCAGTAATGAAGTACTGTTCTTAGTGATTCTTGTGGGAGGACTTGATAACATTCAGGTAGCCAAAGATGTCTAGAATCCTTTGAAGTTTGGTTCCACGTAAGGATAAATCTTGATCTTGATTAGGGACAGGAAGCAGATTAGAACTTAAATCGCCAATGAGCACAACATTTTTCTTTTGACCCAGATCTTGTTTAACAGACCCTGTAAGGAATTGAAAGATGTCATATCTTTAGGTAGACGATAAAGACATCCAATAAGGGTTGACTGACAGTGCATGGTGACATTAACCCAGACTGCTTCCATCTCTTGAATATCCCATATCCCATTTAACGTCTCGATGGAGACTTCAAATGGGATAAATCAGTTAAGTTTTCTTGATAGTAGATTAAAACTCTACCTCCCTTGGAGCCAGATCTATCCTTCCTGACAAAGTCAAAACCAGGAAGTCGATGCAGTAAGATGCGTCTCTGAAATACCCAGAATATCCCATTTCACTTCTTTTAAAAGGATATAAACTTCATTTCGCTTGTTGATTATACCGTTTTCATTGAAGTGCCCAACCTTTGCCAAGGGAGTTGTCACGAAGCTTGGAGAAGATTCTTGTGTTCCACTTTATTGGTCTGCGACCTAACTTTTACTGGTATCTTAAGCTTCTGAAAACGTTATATCTAGTAGCCGATTACATCATACTTATATTTAAAACACTATTTTTGGCAGCAAGAACATTCCAGAAGTTAATGATGACATATCCTTAAAATAACTCAATAGAATGCTCTGGAATATGGAGAAGGTTCTAGTACAGCTTATGAAAATAGCGATGTGGTAAATCAACGTTCTTAATTGTTTCTTTGTTTTTCTGGAAACTTCGTTACAGGAGTCTTTTAACGATTTTTAGATATCAGTATAGTTAACATTAGGTTGTTGTTCAGCTGGAGAGGGTGTGTTTTTCAACTTCAGATCAGATTCTGTCAAGAGGGCGACTCGAAGAAGGAATCAGTGAAATTGAAGGGCCAGCCACAGTTTTTGTCACAAAACCACTTCTCAACAGAAGAACCGAAGTCGATGTATGTCTTAAGGTCCATAGAGATACATTTTAAGTGGAATCACTCTTTACAACCATCGCAAAGGATACCTTTCTAGTTTGAGCGGACAGGTTTCGCACATACCTCACAAGGGAATTTCCAAACGGGTTTGTTGCGGACTGTGGATTTTAAGTGATCCGGACTTGGGTTTATTTCGATGTCTCCACACTGTGCCAGTCTTGAGATATTAAAAGTAGAAACAGAATCTGGATATCGAGTCACTCCCGCAGCAAAATATCATTTCAGTCGTGTCCCAAAATCAAGAAACAAGATCGCGGAATTGTAGTATCGATACAACACGAAGGTTTTGATTCCTTTCGAAATCTTTGATGCTTCAGCAGAGAACAGATGTGTTCCAGGATTTCTTACACCTGCACCAAGCAAAAAGAACAGTAAACGTAGGAGAGCGGGAAAACCTTCAACCAACCACCATGATGGTCAGCGAAGTCTACTTCACCGTTGTAGGGTGCCCCACATTCTAAGCTTTTACCGAAAAATGATCAGATTATTGGGATAGAAAACTCTGCTTAACAGGAAAAAGTTCAGAGTCAACTTTATTTTAATCCTTTTTGGAGGATGATAAATAAAGGAGATCTTGAAATGAAAACTGCGAGTTACGTAGAATTTAGCAGGTTATAAAGCTGTTTCCTTTTATTGTGATCACAAAATGATAAACCTTGCCATAGGCATTCGTTTGATAGCAGTTACTTATTTTGATCATCAACTCGTAGGGTTGCTAGGAGTAATCCAACACTGCGAAAGTACTACAATTTCGAAATTTAATCGATTAAATTGGATTTAATCGATTAAATTTAAGGTAGCCGTCAGCTTTAAAGTGGTGCACAATGCTTAGGGCTGAAACTAGCTGAGTTTTTTAGCTATAAATCAAAAATGAGGTCATTGTTATCTGTGATTTGAACCATAGTGGAGGTCTGGTTTTTAATAACTTGCAATTGAACAAAGCTGTCATGAATTTTAACTCTAAATTCGGCACAAACCTTCACAACGGAAAAAGCAATATTTGGGGAATTGAAAGCGAATAAATCTAGGCAGTTTAGGGAAAATCTAATCTTGCATGTTTAAATGGTCATTATGACCGAGTAACTCGCTGCCAAGATAAGCAAAAGTTCAAACACTTTGTAGACGGAAACAATACAAGGATATATTTGTGGCGATTTTTTTTATGACATTTTTCATGTCTACCGCATGACATTTTATGACATTTTATGACATTTTTCATGTCTACCGCATGAAAAATGTCTCGCTACGCAACGCACTTTCTCCCCCGTTGCGTGATGATACCAAACAACGTTAACGACTGCGAAAACTACTTTGAGAATTACCCATCGATAAAGAAAATTCATCGTTCTGAAATTATACTTATCGAAGCCAAGAAAGTATTACTTAACGCCATATTAATCATATAAGCGAACAAACTCCAACTGACTTCTACTTTCAACACACTACTGCGAAAACTTCAAAACTAGTTTCGTCTACGACCTCGTCAGTTGATGAAAATTCACCTTGTTTTGTATAGCTGAACCAAGAGCCCTTAAATACGTAATGAGGAACTGAGAATCTCGTACTGGTGGTAATACTTTTAGGGCAGTGTTCCAACCTTCCTCAAGAAAAGAAAGAGGAAAACAAAACAGCAACAAAAAAATGGCAAACCAAATTATTACTAAGAAACAGGCTGGTCTCGATAAAGCTAACGTATTCGCAAAACCTTGAAGGGACAAGGTTGAAAAGACAAGTCGATTCATAGTAGCAGAATGAATGTCCGAAATTTGAATGATTTATTTATTCATATGTTTAGTTTTGCTAAAAATAGTAATTTCTTGGCATTATGGTAAGCAAAGCCAACTTTCCTACAAGTATAGTACATTGTCTTTTCCTTAAATCACTCTGCAAAAATGATCAATTTCACTTAAACAAGATACTGAAAAATTGTATGAGTAGCCTATAGCGGAACCATATTTGAAACTTACAAAATTATAGGCTCTAAAGAAAATTACCATTTAAACTCTATATAAAAAAATACAAAACAATAGCTCACTATCGTCGTCATTGTCAAAAACTAATTAACCTCTCACGATTGTATGATCCAGATAGTTAATAGTTGTAATTGAACTGAGTGGAGTGCAATTTGGGCTGAAATCATACGCGTGATTTGAAATCACAAGTATGATTTTAGACCAAAATTGCACGACACGAGGTTCAATTACCACTTTATTACATCCATTTTAAAATCGTCCAAATACAGGACTTGGTCAATTCAAATATTTTATTGATGCAGTATTGAGCCGGTTGTTAAATATAAAGCAGAACCGGAAACGCTTGTACATCTTATTTTGTATGCAAAACAGAAAGACTTTGACGTCATGTGTCAAAAACTCAGTCAAGCGTAAAATGCGATAAAAAGGGCAAAAAATGGTGCGATTCGCGAACAAATTGCCCCAATTTGAGCAAATCAGATTACAAGGACCACCAGTGATTTCAAAATGGATGTAACAAAGGATATTACATTAAAGGCTACTAGAGTTGCCTATAGCGGAACCATGATATTTTGAAACTTACAAAATTATATGCTATAATGAAAATTATCAATAATTAACAATTATTCGCCGAAGGCGAGGTGAATATCGTCGAATAATCCCCGAGACGAATATTTGACAATATTCATCGAACCTGAGGCGAATAATTGTTTTAGTAAAATTTCAGAGCTGAACAACAGAGAAATTTCTAAAATCATTACATTTTAGTAACACTTTTTAACATTTTATATAAACCGCGTGGAGCGGTTTATATAGCGTCATATAAGGCACCGCTCGACCAATCAGATTGCTGGAAACTCTTTGCTCAGCTCTGAAATTATACTAAAATTCTATATGTAAAAAAAAACAATAACTCACGGTTGTCGTCCTCGTCAAAAACTAATCAACCTCTCGCGATTGTATGTTCTATATAGTTAAGGGTATTATAAAAACTAGACTTGAGTATAAAAATGTAACATGTCAATTCAGTTACCTATTCGCAATCTACAAAAAACAATTATATATCTAAAATTTAATATCCAAAATACTTTTATTAGAGGCGCTCATGACTGACAAAAAGATAGTTTATTTTGGCAAAACGTGCTTGCTTTATTGAGAATAAAGCGACCACACGAGCGACTCTTGTGGAGACTTCTCTTTCTATTTAATATGTTTTACTGTTTGCTATTTTGACTGAGTTAAACTCTGGGACAAAGTCTTTTCTCTCGTAGGAAACAGTTACTAACCTCAGGTCTCAAGTTCTGGATAAGCAAATAAAAATGGAAAATTTCAGTAAAAAAATAATAAGGGATTTTCCACTAAAATTGCTCAACTCTTCGACGTTATTTTCAAAGTTTCTCAAGGAAACAAAAACATTCGACAAGATTAACTTTTATAGTCACCTATATATTAAATTCAATCTTGTGGTACTTTTGTTTTCTTTAACTAACAACAGATACTTGTAAAATAATATGGACAATGCGGTAACTAAATGAGGCTGAGCACAAGTTTTCCTCATAGAATTTTACTGCAGCACAGTCTAAACTATGAAAGTTGTAAACGATAAAGAAAAACTAAAAAAACAAAGACAGCGAAAGATAAGAATATTTATCAGTAAGATATTCTTCGAAGATTTGTGTGATAGAGCGTCAAGTTACTGTAATTCAAAGTCAGCCAAGTTTAAAAGATTGAGACCGACAAAATCATCAGGGTTTTTGGCTTTGGAAACACTCACATGCTCTGCATATTAGAATACGTCACATCCCCTTTAGAAACGTTAGCATATGTAGGATCAGGCTGAGGGACACCAAACTGTGCTATGTCAGCGTAATCAGTTCCTTCGTATGCTGGAGGACGAACAACAGCTGCAGCTGCAGTGGCACTAGATGGTCCAGGGACAAGTCCCACTCTCAAATCTTCCAAATCGGCATAATCAAGCTCTCCAGGTCTCTGCCGAAAGGAAAAAGTGACTTGAATGTTACTTTCCATCAACTAAAGTTTACCGTACCAAAATAAGCAACTGGAAAGCCTTGTGACTGTTCTGACACCCTACGATATTAATTATTGATATATACTAATACCGCATGGTATCATGGTCACTTCCACTAAATTAAAATCACGGCACAATTAATTCGATGAGGTTTAAGAAGTAAAACACAAAGCTCGGAGTTTAAGGTTTAGCTGATGTTTTCCAATCAAAAAAGAGAGAAAATCTTTTATAAAAACGCCGCTAAACAAAATTGGACAATCAAATACAACCTTGCCTCTACACCTCACAGCACAAAGGACAATAAGGAGGCGGATACGCTCCCAGAATATAGACGCTGTTTGCTGACTCGCTCTATTCTTTAAACACACGAAAAGACACCTTTCATAATTCATTTCTGAAACAACTGAAAAGTCCAAGGATTTTGGTCTCACTGTAGGTACCCTATACACCTTATTGTTACCCTTTTGGTACGCTTCACTAACATGTGGCTCCACTGTTCACTTAACGGCTGGGATTTTGGTTAAGACAGAGGGGAGGGGAGCTTAACCCATGTGTAGCGCTTCTTGTTATTCCACGAGAGGAAGTTTGACGATTTTTGTTTAGATCGAGCATTATGTCTTCTAACAAGTCACTGCTCGTTCGCGGCGTGCAAGGACAATAATTAGTTTCTAATAACTGGAGTTTATATCACCAAATGGGACGGAACTCATCATTCCTCTGCGTAGCAAAGCAAAATCAAAGAACCAGACGGGGTCAGAACCAACGCTGAACCATTCGACGCTCTATCGATACCACCTCTAAACTATCAGAATTGATAAGCAATGACGTCTGCAGAGAATAATAGAGATGAGAGATGAAAGCTGCACTTTTAAGCTAGAAAAAAGGTTGACATTTTCTCGAGAGAGATTGACACGAAAAGTCTTTCCTCCGTTGAAATAAATTCAGCCAACAAACTGCGCTAAGTTAAAAAAAAAATACGCGCCACAAAATTGCAACAGCAGCAATGATACAACACCTTTCTCGAAGTCATCCTTACCTTTTGTCTCTTCTTTGTCTTTTTCGACTTGTCCACCTGGGCATATTCATCAGGTGGTGGTGGTCTGTTCTTCTTCTTTCTAGTCATATCCACTTGTGCGTAGTTAGCCTCAGCATCAGAACCCGAGGCTTGGAGCCTCCGAGCAGCTTCGGCTCTACTAACCTCATGATATCCATCATCAGCTTCGTAATGATTAGCACTATCCCTGCAATCAATCGGAATAGATCTTAAAACAAGTCTTCTCCATTATTCAGATTTGTTTCGTACCTAGCAAAAGTATAAATTGTCGGCCGCGTAATGCTTTTCTACAAAAAACCCCTCAAACCCCCCCTCTTTCTCAACAATAGGCAGGTATACGGTTTGGAGACCGACTTCTACGGTAAAGTACTGAAAAAACACATTATTAGTCCAGTACTTACAGCCCATCCATAGCCATTTCATCTAAGAGAGAATTAAATAATAAATATATTAATAAATAACCGACCAAATAGATAAAAGGTTAAATAAACTATTTAAAACAGAGTTTAGTACCAAACCCATTAACACATATATTTGGCAATGAGGAGGGGCTGAAACAGCAGAACTGGTCACTTGACCAAATCATATTATCTATCTAAAAATGCGTTCAATAGCCCATTTCCGAGTTGATGAGCGCCCTGGAAACTGGTTCCAAATTTCTGCAAGGGAGCAAGGCTAGGTGCTCACATAGCGGCGCGAAAATATAAATATCAGCAAGTTTTCTAATAAAAAATTGGACTGACTAATATGGTTTACTGCTCCGTAGCTTTGTGTCGGAACGGTAATCGGAACCGGGCAGAGCTGTCTTTCTTTCGATTTCCTACGGACAAACGACTTTCTATTTGGTTAAAATTCTGTCGTAGAGACTTGGGTTAATGGGGAGACACCTGGCAGACATATTTTCTCTCTCTCCATCACAAGTCAGTCGTATAGTTACTACCTGGGTGAGTTTTCTATCTGCTACTTTCAGAGAAACATTACTCCTCTGGCCAAGTAAAGAGGAAGTAAAGAAAAACCTTCCTCGTTCTTTTAAACGGTACCCAAACACAAGGATCAAAATAGATTGTACTGAACTGTTTATTGAAAAACCAACTTCACCCTGTGCACAGAGAGCCCCTGGAGTGACTACAAACAACACAATACAATAAAGTGTCTGGTGGGAATTACACCTTCAGGGTACTTCAGCGTTTTGTCCAACTTTTAGAAAGGTAACACAACTGATAGATGAATTACACAAGAAAGTGGCTTGGTAGATTTACTAGAGGAAGGAGATGCTGTTATAGCAGACCAGAGTTTTAACATATGAGATGTCCTTACTAAGAAGAAAGTATACCTGAACATCCCTCCATTTTCAAAGAAAGGTAGACTTAGATAATACTATTATTATATTCTATATTGTAGTTTTAAAAATTTTACCACCCAATAATAGTCCACTTGACTAATTTATCCTTTTTATTCAAGTATAACTAGTGTAATCGATCCTAACTTTAGCGGTAAAAATAAAGTCAGTCTAAACAACAGATAACTGTTTTAGATCCTTACCCAGCCAAACTAGTAACAGGCAAGAACTATGAAAAATGTCAATATAATAACAGAATTTTATGTTTTTAAATCACAGGCAAACAGCTTTCAAGAGCAGCCACAAAGTCAACCAGGCAGATTGCCTGTGTTCGAATTCATGTGGAAAGGGCAATTGAACGCCTGAAAGATTTCGAAATATTTCAGGGAAATATACCCTTGACCCTCGTCCCCTTACCAAATCACTTGCTGGTTGTTTGTGGTGGACTCTGTAATCTGTTGGAGCCATTGGCATAATATGTTTACAGTATCCAACATACAGTAAAAACCCACTTATTAAAAACAATGAATGTCTATTGAGAATGACATAATAGGCCATGGGCTTAAAACTGTGTTCATTTTTAATTTTTAACATCTTTGAGCACTCTGCCTATAAGTAGCTCAGGTGCTAAATGATCTACAAATACAAGTTGCAGTTTCTTCAAACTTTTAAGCCAAAATACAGGATCAAATTCCACTCGAACAATTAAAATCCCTTTTTTAGTATAAATAACAAGAGCAGTATGTTTTATACCTGTAATTGTTGTTGTTGTTGTTGTTGTTCATTTATTTGTTTAAGCAGGTTGATTAATTGGCAGCTGTAATAGCTGATGTGGACCTGCTGTCCTAACCCACCCATCCTACCCCAGGGGAGGACATCCATCACACAGTAATCTCGTGTGTGGGAAATTAACGTCTCCTGCCCCAACCCTGCAGGAGACGGGACCTCCATTTATTCATCCCTATCCGAGAAGACTAGAATATCTAACCATTTCTTGATGTTATAGAAAGGTAGCAAATTCTTCTCAGTTATTTTAAGACCTTGAGTGTTGGTCCGGCCGGGGCTCGAACCCTCGACCTCCCGCACTACAGTCTAGCGCGCTATCCATTGAGCTAACCGGAAGGCGGTTGACCTTGCCATTTGACCTTGTATTTGATAATACCATGTTGTCTCTACTTTTAATTGATAGCCATTAGTGGTTCTAATCAACTTGCCAGCTGATGGAACCGCAGAGAGTAAATTTCGTTTGGAAAAAACACCCTTAATCTCCATCATTGTTTTAGGATGGCACTTGCAATACTGCATGCGGTGTGGTGAGGCACCAAGAAAAGGCCAAAGTGGATTAACTACTGGTCCACTTTCTTTCAAAAGTAAATCACGGTGTTTGTGATTAATTTTTTTGAAATACAATTTTGCAGCAGAAATCTCCTTCTGGTGTCCCCATTCCAGTAGTTCTGGGACATTTTCCATGGGGCAATAATTCATCAAATATTTGATAGTATTAGTCTTGTCTGCTGTGTCTTTCAAATGGCAAATTTTGTAAAAATTTGATGCATTCATCCGCCCTGTTCTTTGCTCAACCCAAAATTGACTGCCTCCTTGTTGCACAGTCTTGGCACAATATTGTGTCACACTGAGTTTGGTCTAGGTTCAAAAAGTCAATTAACTCTTCCACCAATTCATCATTACAACAAAAATCTTTGCTGTTCTTCTCACTTTTAAAAACGTCAGCAAATTCCTTCATTGTGTAAATATACATACGACACACTGTTTCATAATGCTCAACATTTGCATCACACAAAATGTATTCAGCCACTGAGGCTTCGGGAATATCGAGTCCACTTGAGCTAGGCAAGAACTGTAGAGCTACTGCATCAGGACAAATCTGCTAGAGACCCTGCCTTAACTTTTCTTTTAAAGTACTCGAATTGGTGAGGGTTGATCTTGGGTCAAAATGATATGGCTTCAAATGAAGTTTTTCTCCTTTTCCAAACTCTGCTTTGACAATATTAAGATCTTCTAGTCGAATGGCAGAGTCACTGTTTCTATTTCTACGTTTCCAGAGACATTTCTCTGAAGTGCATGTGTTTGTTAGGTTATTTGATACCGTAGACTGCAAATCAAAAAGTGCAGCAGTGACATGTTTACAAGCACCATCCTTACACGGACAATACGCCGCGTACACTTCGGCACTCGATTTCAAAATTAAAAAAAAACATTATAAGTTGACTGACCGTCTTCCGTTTTTTTTTCCGTTCAGCTGGCTTCACTTTAAACTGAAAATAAGAAAACGGTTTGTTTTCCAATCGACAACACTGTAAATTTTCCACGTGCCCATCATGGAACAGCTTGTATCCATGTAGATTTTTAAGCGACCTGAGGTTCTCAACTGAATATTCGTCTTTTCCGACTAAGTAGCTATACAAGTCGGCAAATGTGAATTCAGGTATACTCGCAAAATTGTGAGACCAAGAGTGCAATAGATCGGGATTAGGAAGTAGTCCCTCGTTTGTCTGTAGCTTTTCCTCCAACACCTGATCGAACGATTCCACGACTTCTTCGAGTTTTCGTTGCTTCATTTCCGCCGCAATTTGACATAGCTCTAAAAGTTCAGCCCTTCTCTTCCCTTTTCCGTTACCACTCAACTGGATCCCACGATCGGACAAATATTTTTTCAGGTTTTCTACTTTATACTCGGAGAAATCCACATCCCAGGACGCCATAATGTTGCCAAGTGCGCACCTAGCCTCGCTTTGATGTGCTAAATTCAGTACCAGCTCAACGCGCCAGACAACTCGGGCTATTATAGCGTGGCTTAACAATTTAGGTTAGCTTGACAAGTCTCTCAGACTCGCGGTACAGTCTGTTTGCGTAACGGTTTCTAAAAGTGGATCTGATAATCCACAATCTAGCTCGGATTCATTTAACATTTTTTGATTGGCTGGGTTTCCCACGTATTTGTGATTAGACATTTCCAAACACAACATGCTGCGCACTGCTAAAAATGTTTTAAATTTCTTGTAATGTTGAACTCGAATGTTAAAATTGCAATTGCTGTACAGTTTGAAATTTAAAATACTTTACTTAAACAAAGAAACTCGTTACAGGTACTCCTTTTCGGTCTAAATGTACTCGTAAACTTTCCTTCAGGAAGAAAAGTCTTCGATTCTAAATTATTTTCAATCAAAACAGACTATCTGTTCGAAAGGCCTTGACGTTTATCGTAGCGACATCACCGCTACGATGGCTTACGAAATACCACCAATCTTAATGACATTGAAGTTTCACCGATCGCTATTACTTGACACCTCATCTCACTAGCATTTTCCCGTTGGCTTCTGGCTTTCCCAAGTGATTGGTCTCCTCTGAAGCATCTTCTAGTGTTATTGATAAAAATTCGACATCTTTTCAACTCCGCGAGAAAGTTTTCTACATGCTTCTGTTTTTTATTGATCTCAAGGGATTACTCAGATTCTGAATTTCTGAGACTCATCTCTATTACACCATGTCATAAAATACAAACAACAGACGAATCAGACTAATTATTATCCAACTACACCTAGACGAGTACAAATAACGCAATAGACGAGTACAAATATCACGCGGTATTTGTACTCGTCTACTGTAGTACCGGTTAAACAGGTTTTCTCGCATCGCGCAAGCGAAGAATTGAATTGTAGTTACGAAAAAAAAAAACAAATGGCGGACAGCCTGAATCATATTTTCCGACGTCAGAATGGCTGGCAAATATAGATCCAAGTTCATTTGATGAATCGAACGAAGAAAAACAGCTTGACGACCAGAAAATTTCTTCATTTAATGAAGAAATTAGAAACAGCAACACAACAACGCGCCAATTCCGTTCCGCTTCGCATACTTCTGTCACGCACTCCCCGTAAATAAATATCCGCGAAATTCGCCCGCAGAAATAACAGTTTGGCGTGTTGAATAATAAATAACTTCTTAGACGTTTTTTTGCGTAGTTTCGCTGGGTATTTTTACACGTTATTTGTATTTTGACCCGCCCTACGGGCTCATCAAAATACGACACAACTCGTAAAAGTACTCAGCGATACTACACAACAAAACGTCTAATAAGACATATGTATTTAGAATTACAGTGAAATTTCTTTGTAATGAAAATAGTTCAAATAAGTATTTGGCATCATGGAGATTTGCGTGATTTGTTTCGTAAATAAATGTCCAATCACAAATAGCGTATGAAATCCTGCCTAAAAGAAAGCGGTACACAGGTCTTTGTTGAACCGTGGGCTATCAGTAAAAGCTTTTGGGGAGCAATTAAACCGAATGACTATACCGGCAGTGTAGGCCGTCTGCGACGAAAGCTATCTGCAACTCTCCACTGATGACCAATCCAACGATGTCTACCTATTTGTAGACGGTGGGCACAAACAACTTTTAATAGAAATGAACTGCTACAAATGAAGACGTACCGTTCCCGGGGCTTGAAGGCTTTCTACGTCTCCAGAGAACAATGATCACAATGATACCGATAATAAGTAGAACACCGGCCACAGCTGCTCCAGAATATATTGCAGTATTCATGCCATTTTCGCCGCCAACCGGGGAACCCTTGGTGGAACCTGGGCCTACATTACGATAAACCAAACAAAATAAAGCGTTTTGAAAGGTATACTGTTAGTCTTTTCGGCCCGAAGGCATTTACACAAGACCAATTGTGTGTTTCCTGGTACCGGTACAACACTCCTATCACTTTTTTGTACTTGACGAGTGATAGAAAAAAATAACCTTGCAATTTACCGAAAAATTATTCTCTGAGACTAAAGCACCTACTGTGTTTTCCTATGAACGTGAACCTTTTTCCCCTGAATCACTACGTTTCTCTCGTTTGCTTTGCTTTCCCGTATCATATATTAAAAACGATAGATGATAATATTTCTATTTGCACGAAGCTATGTCAAACTGGCTCTCTATGTTCATCAACCATTGGGCGTCAGGCTGCCACCATATCGAGGTCAGTGATATCTCCCTTATTGATCCATGATATGAGAGTAAAGATTTCACATAGTCCACACCCACACGATGGCTAAAAAGCTCTACGTTAGCGACAAAGAGGTGATTAAAAGTTAAGCAATAGAGAAGATTGCAATCGTGGTCAGGGGAAAATAAGAATCACTTAAACATACTTCCTACTGCCTTGATTTGCGGGATCTGTTTTTCATCTGGTTTTAAGCTTTCACCAACACCATTAGTCGCAGTTACTGCAAATTGATACACTTTTCCTCTTTCCAGCTTTACTTTAATTTCTCTGACTTTAACATCTGAGATTTCCTTTATCATCTTCCAATCTCCTGGTCTTCCATCAACCATTGTTCTCTGATAAACAGTGTATTCGGTTATTTTCTTTCCATTGTCTTTTGGTTCAATCCATCTCAGAGTAATTGTGTCTTCTGTTGCTTTTTTGGGTAAGCCATATATTTCCACTGCCTCCGGAATCCCTTAGTGAAACATAATAGCACGAATAGTCAGAGTTTTTTTCAATTATTAATCAACTAGTTGCAAACCCCACAAAAGCCATTGACATGTCGGTTGGGGTAAATTGAGAATTGATGCGTCAATGACCCGGCGTTCATTAAAACATGGAAAAGTTTCTTTGTCAGTGTTCAACAAGTTTTGGACGTAATATTTATCTCACCTAGACAGGATGATAAAGTTTAATAACTTATGAGTTTACCTATTCCTTTAACCCTCTTGATCTTTGATGCATCTTGCTTCAAGCCTTCACCCAAGGCGTTGGTAGCAGTAATTGCGAATTCATACACCTCTCCTTTCTTTAGCTTAACTTCTAAATATCTGTCTTTTACATTCGTGATTTTCCTTATTTCTTTCCAGTCTCCCACCTTCCCATCAGTCACCATTCTTTGATACACAGTGTACTGGGTGATAACTTTTCCATTATGTCCTGGCTTCTTCCACTTTAGGGTAATTGAATCGTCTTTTGTTTCAATGGGAAGCTCGTCTATTTTCACAACCTCCGGGGGCCCTGGACCAATCACAACAAAGAGGAAAGTCAGAGTTCTGCTATAATTATTCACCTACTTACTTTAAATTCAAACAGAATCATTGTCAGAGACAAATGATAATCTGTAACTTGTGCAGTGGTTTCAATTTAAGGAACACCCGACCTTATCTGACCCACAAATTATCAATCCTCGTTAACTTTGATATAACTCTTTAACATATGAAGTGCGGTGTTATACAAAGATTTCCAACCTAACAACACATGTTAAGAAATTTCATTTTTCACGTGTTTGATACCGCCAATCAGCTGCTGACACGTCACTCACCTTTCGTGGCAATCTGTCTGGTTGAGGCATGAGTGTTTAAGCGTTTATTGTTCTCAATCCAGGGTAGCTTGTCGAAATTTTCTCGGATTATGGCTGCTTAAAATGCTGAAAAATTCGCATCGCTTAAAGACAGTGACGCTCAAAATGTCAAGAAGTGGAAGAAAATCAAAACACAAAAAGCCGAAAGTTAAGTACTTTTACGACTGTCTTTCGCGGATTGTAGATCCTATATTTTTCATTCACAAATAAAGTCTACTCTTCTTATCAGCAAGGGCCTTTTGTGTTTATAATAGATAGATTTAGCCAAGCTTAAAAGCGGAGCTCGCATTTTTTTCCCCCGCACGTCTCGTCAACAAAACTAAAGCCCCTACAAAAGATAAAGCGCATGTTCATACAAGTGTAGCGCACGCGTTGTGCTCAAGCACCCACTGGACAAGACTAAAGCCGTGGTGTTGGCGTGCCCGCGGTACAGTTGACCGCGCATGCTAAAAGTAGCACGTTGTGCGGACGCCCGTACGGTCATAAGTCCAAACATTTCCGGCTTGATGGGTTACTACTACTATTTTGTATAATTATAGGGCTACGCTGCGCGCGCTGCCAGCTCCGCTATAAAGAACAAAATAATACATGGTTGCGCGTACAGATGGAAATTCTCTCCCGTGTTTAACTCAATATCTCACTCGTTCGCTGCGCTCACTTATGGGCTATCGAGTTGAACACTCGAAGAGAAATTCCATATCTACTCGCGCCCATGTATTATTCTCCAGTGTCAACCACAATTAGTAACATGGTAGTCCGTAAAATAAAAGCTGCTTTGGGTGACAAGAGAAATAAGTGGAGAGTATATAATGCCATTAAAGTTATGGTGGTGTGTAATTCAAATATACACCCTACTAACTATGTCTATTAATGTGATATGCTGAATTCTACCGCCATTTTGATTGGTTCTCACATACGTACTGTGAAGCGGCTGACGTATAGATGACGTCGTCATACGTCAAATTATTTGTCTCTCGATTACATACAACGAGGTTCAAGTGCGACTCCTCCGTACGTCCAAAGAGCTGATATTTCAACTGTGATCTAGCAATGCACAGAAGCATCCCGAATGGAATGTGTGTTTTTCAAATTGTGCAGAAGTATTGTTTCTTATTTTGGCCTTACTAAGGATAGGTTGAAAATGGTAAGTCAGCGAAATCTTTGACTAGCAAACCTATAGCCATGTTCTAGGTAAGGGATGCCTCGTGAGTTAAATTACAGAATGTTCTAGAGGTTTAGTCAAGATATGAGAACATTAGTAGCAGGCTTCCCATTGGTATGGAGATTTAATTATAAAAACGTTCACGCTGACTTTATGTCTCTTAGTTACACTCAAAGGAATAATTTGCAGCACAGAGAAATCAATTCATAGGCTATAACTGAATGGAATTTAAAAAATGAGACGAATAAGGTCTGAGATAGCTACTCGTATTAATTTCTATAAATCGAAAGTATGCGTATTATTTACAATGAAGGGTGACACTCTTGTCATCATCCAAAATAACACGTTTCTTGGTTGGAAACAAAATGAATGGTTGAAGTGCTCAGTTGAGCTACAACAAGAGCGTTATGGAATAGCCAATCCTCACCTTCAAACTTTGTCTTCAATGTCTTTACAACAGCATCTCCTTCAAAGACAGAATTCCTGGCAAACACTTTCACCGTGTAGTTTGTGTCTCTTTCTAGACCCTTAAAAGTGTGATTTGTTTTAGGAAAACCAGTAATATTAACACTGCCTTTCTTGGTGTCACCCTTTAGTATGATCACTCGATAGGCTGTGATAGGACTCCCTCCATCATCAGCTGGTGCAGTCCATCTTACTGCTAATGAACTGGCTTGAACGTCTGCTTCTGTTGATATGATGGTTGCCTGGCCAGGTTTCTCTGCATAAAAAGAACACAATAATATTTGTGGCTAATAAAAATGAAGCCGACATAATCTGATTGCGTTACCTTCATCCTGATTGCCTCTATTAATTAGATCCTTGCCCTTGTGAAAGACACCAAGTAAAAAGTTTATCACTGTGTAATAAACGGTAGAATGAGAAGAAACTGGTGCACCCCCTTGAAAAAGCTGATCCTGGACTCTTAGAAACGTGCTGAAGTGAACGTGCCTTCATTCAAAAATGTTCGGTAATATATTTCATGTATTTCAATGGCCACGCGGGAAAGGCAGCATGAAAGGAGTTTGTAAGTTATTGTAGTTAGTGTTCCTACAGTTTCATCAATCCATAATTCCAACGAATGAGAATTACAAAAGGAAAGTTACATATGATGCACGATCCTCGCAGTAGATAGCGCTATTTAAGTAATAGCGAAAATCAGACCTGAAAAAAATCAGGCCTGTACGGGATTCGAACCACTGACCCCTGCGATACTAGTGCAGCGCTCTGCCAATTGAGCTAACAAGCCAACTGGGAGCAGGCCGTTAAGTTGATTCGTAATAAACCCGTGAAAGTGATAAATGAGATACAATGAAATACATGAAGTTCATAAATAGCGCTATCTACTGCGAGGATCGTGCATCATATGTATCTAATACCGCAGTACAAAATATATGAACTTCATATATTTCATTGTATCTCAAAANGACTCGACAGACAGCTTATCCGACGAGAACAAATACCTTCACCGTGTTTTTACGAAGAACAACTACAACAACGACTTCATCCGACGAAACACTCACCGACCCACTACCACTACCGAAACAAACGACACCGCAACCCCTACGACTACAGCAACCATACCGTACATAAAAGGCATGTCTGAAAACATCTCGCGCATCTTACTACCCTTCAATATCCGCGTCGCCCACAAACCCATCACCACACTACGTCAGTTACTAACCAACGTTAAAGACAAAGACGAACCGAGGAACAGACAGGGAACGATTTATAAGATCAATTGTTCCGACTGCCAAGCCTCCTACATCGGTGAGACTGGCAGAAACCTCACAACAAGACTGACTGAACACAGACGGGCGACGAGGAAAGGTGATGTCAGCAATCACATTGCTGAACACCATCGACTTACCAACCACAACATTGACTGGGACTCTGCGCAATGCCTAACCTACAGCACTGACTATTTTCAACGACTGACTCTGGAAAGCTGGTTTACTAACTTAGAACAGACTCCCCTAAACAGATGTCAACAACTACCCGCCCCATACAAACGACTCATTCACGACATAAACATCACAAACGACCGAAAAAGAACAACCTAGCTTTACCGACAGACCGAAACAGACCAATCACGAACGACTTACGTCACTTGAGTCTTACAGCCAATAACATCACGGCAAAACCAACCGATCATTTCACACGAACTGGAATAAGAACATTCTACTGACAACAATCACTCACTTGACTCTGATGATGACTTCCGCACAGGTTGTCGAAACGTCAGTCACTGCCACCGACAACAGTCCTTCTCAGGACTACACTCACCCGGACGATCAGACTACACCTTCACATGTTACCCCCGGGTTCAAACCATTTACTGCACATCAAGTTTAGTTTGCTGTGTTAGACTTGACTTGACCTGACCAAATAAACAATTACATTCTGCACATTATATCACGGGTTCGCACAGTGTCACTTTGATTTAACTTACTTATCTGATTTATATTCACTGTCTTCTCATCAGGAGGAGTAAGACCATTTTCAGCAACACACTTGTAATCACCGAAATCGCTACTGTCGTTCAATGCCACATTAGCTTTAATTTCCTTATTCGTCTCTCTCTTCAGTTCATCTCCATCAGGTTGGTACCAGGTGAGTGTCGGTACAGGAACACCATTTGATTGACACTTTAAGGTTACTGTTTGACCAACCCAGGACGTAGGAGATGAAACGGAGGCAATCTGAATTTTTGGGGGGTCTAAAATGAATACGACACAAAATCACAAATCATCGCATAAAAAGGTGGCGGTAAAGTCCACGTTAATTTGAATAACTTCACACATACCACTCGTCCTATTTGTCCAACCTTCACGCACGTTACTCAAATAAACGTAAACGGCATTAAGGACAAGACAATAACCATTAACTTTCTATTCCGAGGCCAACAAGCAACCGATACCAGACCCGAGCCTCTTCACCCGACTTACATAATCTGAATGTCAAAGACTTAATTTACATTGTGGGACCAGACACATGTGAAAATCGTTCGTAGGCAAATGAAGGGATGATGGTTTTTGCGCACTTAAACTGTAACTGACCAAAATTAAAGAAAATTAAATCCAGCCGCCTTACAAAGTACAGATGTTTAGAGCGCGAAAATGTTATCGAGAATAATGATGTGCTAGACCAAGCACCCAGCACATACGTTATGTCAGAAAAATAATTGGAGAACAATGAAAATAATACTAATAAAAAGACACAGTGGCAAAAAACTATAACAGTTCCGCGGAATTAAGTCTAAAGGGAGACAGACTGCTTTGCGTAAACCTCGAAAGCGAAATGACCTTTCATCTTTCCAATATGAAAAGTGAGCAACCTTGACAATTTCATCTTTCCAATAAAGAAGTCGAACCATCCTTTACAATTTCTCAGGTTTACTGACCTTCAGAGGAGAACTTAACTTTATTCTGAGGTGAGTTTAGTAAACAGAGGAAAGGATTGAGGACCCCGTGTTTCTCTTGTTTCTTGAAATATTCCATTTCTAACCATCGGCATTTACTAAGCACTGCTTCCGAAGCGTCTCGAAATTTTGAGACGCAATTAAGTTTTGCGGCTGGTGCTGTGTTTGCAACCAACCGTTATTTCAAATCATGTTTCGTTAATTTTTTCTTTGCGAGGCATAAACAACTGCCGTAATGGTGTGGGCAAGAATCCTTGCATCAAAACGAAATTAAACCGGATAACGTAAATATGTACAAAAAGAGCAAACATCCCCATCAGTCTCTCTTCGGTTTCTAAATATTGACCGTAGAGAGAACGCTCGTGGTGCAACGATCAATTCTGTAAAGTGATCGCACGGATGAGTGTGGTCCTGAGAAAACAGGATCGGTAACAGTGAACATAACATAACATATATTCAGGAAGCTAGAACGCAAATGTAAAAAATACATCCTGAAAAGGGAAAATCGTGAGGTTAGCCCTGTATAAAAACAATTTCCCTGACTAAAAACATACAAAAGATAAGATTTAATGGCTACAGATTCAATAAATATTCAATAAATATTCAAATAAATTTTAAGTCTACTCTTAAAAACAGACCATGATTCGGCGTGGACAATGTATCCTGGCAAGCTATTCCATTTCCCCACAATGCGAATGAAGAAACAATATTTGTAACAATTACAAACCGCTCTTTTCAGGTAAAGTTTATAGTCGTGGTTAGCTCTTGTACGCTTATTGGCACCGTTTCTAGAGCCGTAATATCCTTAATCAAGTACGGACTCCAAACAGGAGCCGCATACTCCAGTATGGGCCTGACCAGTGACTTATAGAGCTGCGAAAACACGTACTGGCTATTAGTTCCGATGGACCGCTTTATGATACCTAGTACCATATTTCCATATTTGCCTTGTTTACCGTTGCAGATACATGCAAGCCCCAGGACAGGTCAGAACGATGTTTCGAAAACCTGAGCGGAACTCATCATCAGAAACGAGTGAGAGTTCTCGTTTTGTTAGCTTTGTTGTCTAATGATCTGATTCGTCGTTAACCCTCTAACTTCTAAAGGTAACAAGCCTCTTATTTCGCCTGACAATATCACCCCTAAATCACCTTACGAAAAGTATGGAGAACAGTGTGGAGAATATACATTTTGATGTGAGGTCGTAAAGAATTAGGAAATGGAATGTAGAAAGCCATTAGTTTTGTCTCATTAATTCATGTCTAGGTAACAACTGAAGCAGAGTCCACTGATGTCATTGGTCTGGTTTAAGAGTCACTAAAGTTCAGAATTGTTATTATTGATGACCATATTTCTTGTCAATCAGTGCGGTGCCACCTGACGTTTCCTGACAGTCTATTAAGAGAGATCGGTCTGTGGGCTAAGAGGGTACAGAATATGTGTTTAAAGAGTGCCTTTATATACAGTAAAGTCGATGTTGTAGGAATAGAGGAACTGGGAAAGTCTTGAGAGTAAGTCCACTTGGAAGGCCATAATCCAAGATCGACACTCCGATGACATCATACAAAGGTTACATAAAACAAGCACATTTACATACTGTCACGCTGATGGTTACGTTGCACTGATAAAATATCTTAGAATAATAATAGCTTGTTAATTGTATCTATCAAACAATTAAACAAAGCAACGTTTGAGTTGAGCTAATGTACTTAAGTTCTTCAGAATTTCAAACAATTTTTAATTTCTTTTAGTTCAGTTAATATGGAATTAAACTTCAGCTTTACAAGAAATAACATTACAAAAGTATAGAGAAGTAGACTTGTTAAAATATGTGAGACCAAAAGTTTGAAGAAAAAGATGAGCATATGTTCTATAAATTCAGCAGCAGCGGGGGTTACTAATATGATGTATTGGAGTAAGGACTCACATTGTACGGTAACATACGCTCTTGCTGACTTTTCTTGCCCCACTCCATTGCCTACAGTGCACATATATTCTCCTGCATCACTCTTGTTACTGCTGGAAATGTGGAGTTGTTTCTTGTCAGACAAAGTCTTCTCGGATTTTGTCCATCTTACATAGGGTGTAGGAAAACCCGAAGCATCACACGACAAAAATATGGGAGTTGAAATATTAACTGTTATATTCTGTAGTACTTTCTTAAACTGGACAGGAACTAGGCAAAAAAAAGACACACATATATATAATTAGTGCAGTTATAACAAGGTTGTGAATAAAAGAAATATTTTTTTCTTAAAGGCTGATCAAGGAACGTTCTCCGGACGAATAAAACTTGCATACTAAGTCTAATAATACCACTTGGTTCAGAGTTTCCTTTGGTTTTGTTATTTACCGTAATAATACACATGAAAAAACTTTGCGCGCAGTGGCTGAAAACGAGTGCGTTTTTCATGTAGCACGAGTGCAAAGTCGTAACAGGAGTGCAAATTACAAACAGCGCGCCCGCTGTCAAAATTTCGTCTGTCTTGACTTTCTGTGATGCTCTTTTCATGTAAATTATTAACAAGTAACAACATGATTTAGAGCGGAATTTGGTGTAAATAAGCGCTTGAACATTTTTCAAATACTACAAACAGCAATCACCCTACGGGTTCCAACAATTTTGTTGTCTTTGGAAAATTTACTTGTGCTTATAAATACCAACTTGCAGTCCTAATCATGTTGTTACCTATACTAATCACATATATCTAGGATAACTGGTTAAAAATTTCAAAAGTCTGACCGGATAGCAAAGTTAAAAAATTTCTCGAGAAAATAAAATTTTTTCACCCACTCAATTCATTGAAGACTGAGATCCATTGGCATAAACTTTATAAATCCAACGTATTCTGAAAAAATGTTTTTATCGTTTATTGCATTTACAGATGCACAACATTGTAAAGGCTAAGGAACAACTACAAAGTCTTACAGACTTTGCCATAAAACATTATCCCACGTGAATTATCCAATTTTGACCCTTCGGGTCCACAGGTAAGAAAATAGGGCTAAATATCTGGAATTCCTTTTAAAATTTTAAAATTTTCAAATTAAAAAACATTCTTAGCAACTAAAATTGCTAAGAATGTTTTCTCTTCAGTTTAGATTACTACGTTTGAGTCTTCAAAATGTTGTTACTCACCACTTATGTTCAGGGTAACTGTGACCCCTGGTCCATCTCCAGCTTCATTATACGGCACACATTTGTATTTCCCGGAATGCTGAGATCGATTTACACTGCTGATGGTGTATTCACTGTTACTGCTGTTACTGACGAGACGGGTGTATAAATAGAACTTGTATCCTGATACTTGTGGCTTAGCTACCGTGACGCAACATGTTAATGTAACTCTGTCTCCTTGTGTGACGGTATTTTGGGCAGGACTGGTGGTAAGTGTTACACCTTCAGGTTTGTCTAATAATGTCAACCAAAAATAAGATCACAAAAATTCCACATCCTTTTATATGGAAGATCACCTATGAGATCTGTTGTACTTTTTGCTACACAAATTTCCTCTAACTTTTAGCAGCCTCTACCGCCTCCAAACTTAAGCATAAATACACAGAAAATCCACGAATATGAAATGAAAAAGCCATGGCTCGATGACAAGTCGAACATGTTGAGCATTGCAAGGAAAAGAGAAAACGATTTGAACATTTTAATAATGCACATTATGTAATTTCAAACTAACAAACAACTCTTTTTTAGTTTTTATGTAATAACTATCGAGAAAAGCTGCAACTACTGAGGTATAAGAAAGATGAGGAGTTCGCGTTAATGGAACTCAAACTTAAATTAATATTAGAATAAAAAGTTTCTTTGGAAAACTCACCGCATTAAAAGAAATGAACAAAACTGCTGCTTATTGAGTTTTGTAAAATGTAAGCCCGTTTTGAACACTCAAAGTCTCCAAAACCTCTTCCATAAGGTTGCGCGCCTTCTGTTGCCATCGAATGGCTGGACACAGAAGTTAAAACATGAGCGTTGAATGTACCTTCAGTTGTATCATTTATTTGGAAAAGAGATCGAAACATATGACTTTCAGTACACTTATTTGTATTGACAATGTCAGACACATTCTCATTGCATCTCCAGCAGTGTTTGTGGTTGACGGTGGGAGAAAGAATCGCTAAGGGCAAAAGCAAGGAAATGTCGTTACCTTACTGTTTCGCCTCAGCGAGCTGTAATTGATGAATTGCGGATTAAATATAAATTAGTTTTTCTTAACCCATGATTGCATGAGCGCTTTTCCGAGTGGAGCTCAGCTGCTGCTGCTGCACAATACCTAGGGCTTCCTCTCCAACAGGGTTCATTTAATGAAATACCTTCATGTCCTTCTCAATGCGATAAGCCGCTTTCGGACCTCTTTACACTGTTCTCACATATAAATGTTCCTATAAAAAGTCCAGCTAAATTGAGCATTGTTTAAGACAAGGTTTGATAAACAACGGCTAAAAATAACCGGGCCAATGTGATTATAATTGCAATTTTTTAAAAACTAGCAGCACTCTACGAACAGTTGTCGCAAAACTTCTTTGTTCTCCGACGCGTGCCTCAAAGATTTCAGTAGTTCTTTGGAATTAAAGCAGCTGTCATTATTGACTCCATCGAGAGGTTTTGTGTGAAATCGTCAAATCTTCAGGCAAGAGCTACACATCAGTCATACTTGTTCCTATAATACGCGCTCCTCGGCAGCAAACAACTTCCATACCAAACATTACCGATCGTCAGTTCTTTTACACTCATTTGCCAGACTAGGAGCCAAACATTGTCGAGAAATTCCATTCAAAGCTGTAGCCTGCAGAACTGGCGTGATTTTTTTTGGCATTTTCAGGCGAATGACGGAAGCGTAAGGTGAGTGCGAAGTGCGAGTCACGCAGTCAGGGTAAGCCTGTATGCGAACTATTGTTCAAGCTCTTTCCCC